AGCAGAGATCACCCCAGGAGGCAACTCAGATGAAAATTCACACACACACACACACACAAGCTATTAAATCTCTGCACCAAATTCACCTTAACCCTTTGACTGTTTACACCGTATAAATACGTCTTATGCGTCACTGTTTCTGACGTATATATATTCAATAATTCTAGCGGCTTCAAATCAAGCGGAAGAAAGCTGGTAGGCCCACATGTGAGAGAATGGGTCTGTGTGGTCAGTGTGCACCACATAAAAAAATCCTGCAGCACACAGTGCGTAATGAAAAAAAAAAAACTCTGATCGTTTTTTTGGATTAAAATGCCGACTTTGAGGTGTATTTTCGTATAGTATTTATCGATGTATTCGAGTTTTCATGGTCTTAGGTGATAAAATGGAAAACATATTACAGAAATATAGATGATTTTCATTACTTTGACAAAGAGAACGACCTTGAAACTGAGCTCAAAGTAGAGGAAATGTTAGATTTTTACCAATGTTCAGAAGTAAACGAATCACACCACACGTCCAATACACGTTAACTGGGGAGTCTAATATTCTTACACTAGTGCACTGATATTATTTATACCATTTTTACAATAATGCAGTAGTCTACATAACTAAATTTTGTATTTTTTTTTTTTTTGTATGAATAAAAAATCAAAACAGAAAGCAGTAATAATATAAGAGGGGCCTAGAGATGTGACTAATGAACAGAGGATATGTTGTTTTAGTGCCAAGAATGTCTACCTTGTTTATTCTGGACCCTATTTTGAAATTGGCATCTTTTTTAGTTTGCATAATTGCAAAGCCAATTTTACCCCATTGTAGGCCAAATTGTAAATGAGTTTTCTTGACTCATCAGATGGAATATAAAATGTAGTTCTAAAGAAATGCGAATTGGTCCAACTGGAACACGAATTGGCTGCAAATTAGGGCTCAAAGGTTTGCGACATCCGATACGCATAGTCCCGATACCGCTAAGAACTTCGGAGCGTATCACGAGTTTGTAACTGCAAATTTCGAACTTTTGGTGTCATTACCGCTCAGGAAGTTCACTTATGTCGGTGAGGCTATTGAACTTTAGGGAATTGGTCTGTGCACCATTCCCCCCAGGAGTCTGGTGAATTTAAATCCTCCTCGGGTTTATCCGTTTCCCCCCCTGATTATAATATAATAATAATAATTGGTGTCATTACCATCGGGAAAAGATTCTCTATCATTTCACAAGAAAAAATTTTTTTTTTTTTCAAAAATTTATCGACATAGAATGACAGTTTCAGAAAGGGGCCTGAAACAGTCAAAGGGTTAAACCAGCAAATATTAGAACCTACAAAATTAGAAAATACGCTGGAACTCATCTTCACTAACAACGACGATCTGATACGTAATATAACCGTATCAAAGACAATACACTCAGATACAACATAGTAGAGGTGCAGACATGTATGCACAGGGCTCCTGACCAGCAAAATGTGATCAGTTATGAGGGTGTCTTCACAAAATTCAATTTCAATAACTAAAATATACAATGAGAACAAGTCTTGGCCTTGACCAATGCCAAGTGTTGAATGCAAAGGATGATGGGATGTGAGGAGTCCATGTCCCGGTGAGCTCTCAATGCACTCTGAGATTAAGCAGTTACAGCAAGAGTGGGAAGAGAACTTATGTGGATGATAGCCACAAGAACTATGTATAACTCATCCATGGGAGGCCTGGTCATGGACCAGGCCACAGGGGCACTGATCCCCAGAATACCCTCCAGGTAGCCAAATCCAATAAGAGTTCTTGTATTACCCTATACAGAAAAAACTGAAGCCTATCCTACACCATCAGAGGATTTAAAGCCATCAGTGTTCACATCAGAAGCATGAGTGAAGCTGAAAATGCTAAAGACAGAATGAATATTCATGGCAGATACAAGAGATTTTGAAAAGGGAAAGGTGGAACAGAAAAGAAATGAACATACAGGAAGAGAGGGGCACAGATTGCAAAAGAAAAAAACGGTAGAGATGAGGGTGAGGAATGAGATAGGAGGGAATAGGGAAAGGAAGAAATAAAGGTAGAGAAGTGGATGGGTGCATAAAAGAAAAGGACTTGTTGCCAGGCATTAGAACCTCTCAAAATATCCTCAAAGTGTGGTTAATAAAATACGGCAATTATTAAAAATATTATTGAAACGTCAATGACTGGTCTAGCTCACCATCTACAATACAAACAATATGGCAGAATACCAAGAGATTTTACTTTATATCACAAATGCCACTTATTAATATATTTCATGTTAGCACATTCAAACTAGTAGTATATACTAAAATCCGATAATCAATTGAATAAGAATTATTAAATGATTATGATAAGTTAATTAAAAAAATTTTTACAATGGAATTGGTTTACACTTATTATAATATTCATGGGAAGGGTGGCAGGCAATTAAGTTTGATCCGAGGAAGGAGAAGATAGTACCACTCCCTTGGATCAAGAGCCCTTCACCTAAGAATGTTTATCCCTGTTTGGTTCTAACCATCACAAAAAAATAGTGCTCATAACTAATATACTAAAATAAAAAAATGCACAATACCGTGACTGGAACGACACACAAATAACCCGGACATAGAAGAGAGAAGCTTACGGCGACGTTTCGGTCCGACTTCCCCTCAAGGAAGGTTCCTTGATGTTGGTGAGGGGCTCTTGATTTAGGGAATTGGATCTGTGCTCCAATTCCCTGAATTAAGCCTGAATGCCTTCCACATTCCCCCCCCCAGACGCTGTATAATCCTCTGGGTTTAGCGCTTCCCCCTTGATTATAATAATAATCGGTCCGACTTGGACCATTTACAAAGTCACACTGACTTTGTAAATGGTCCAAGTCGGACTGAAACGTCGTTGTAAGCTCCTCTCTTTTATGCGTGAGTTATTTGAGCAATATATTAAAATTAATATTTAACTTTCATTTGGGTTTCTTACCTTAGAATTATACAAGGTTTCTTTTTTTTTAAATAATTTGTACAGTAAATAACTTTTTACAAATTTAATATACAGTATAAGATTATTATGGCCACTACCTGAATACTTATTGTGGGAGGTGTAAGGAAGAGACTTACATATAGCACAGTGCATGATGTGCTGACATCGATTATGTCTAAGGAGGGAAGAGTCGATTCTTCTCCCAGGGTTAGAGGGGAGGGTTTAGGGTTTATCCAGGGAAGGAAGGGAAGTTGACAGTTCTCCCAGAGGAGGGAAGTTGAAAGCTCACCCAGGGAAGGCAATTCAAGGGGTCACTCAGAAGGGAAGGTCAATGGTTATCTCTGCAAATGGTGGTCGAGGATTATTTCAAGGGCACGTACATTGTGGATTATTTCAAGAATGAATGTGGGAGGTTACCTCAGGGGACTGAATTCACATTATATACAAATATGGCTTTGTATTATTTTTGCAAAACAAAAGACTGAATAATAATGCTGCAAAGCACTCCATAATCTGACTGAAATGTGAATAATCTGTTTTTACTAAGAAGCAATGAGTCAAGATACTTTTTACTTATGGCTGATGCCTTGTATATTATACAATGAAAGTACATTATACGACAGTTCAGTACATTGTATAATAGTTCGGTACATTATACAGGTCAAGGATTAAAGAAATACTGCGCTCAAAAATTATTTACATATATACAAGTGCACAATAACAACCCACATGGAGACAAACACTAAAAGTTGATTGAATTGTATATTTTGACCCCCTTCTGGGGTCCTCTTCAGCAGACCAGATCTGCTGAAGAGGATCCAAGAAGGGGGTAAAAGTACAGTGGACCCTCGACCAACGATGGCATCGATTAACGATAAATCCGACTAGCGATACTTTTAACGCAAAATTTATGCCTCGACTAGCGCTAAAAAACTCGACCAACACTATTAGTTCCGTCTGAGACGCGTCCAGTCCGGGCCAGTGTTTACAAGCCAGCCAGCCAACGCAGTCGCTTCCAAGCATACAATCGGAACATTTCATATTATCACAGCCTTTTTAGTGATTGCACCTGCAAAATAAGTCACCATGGGCCCCAAGAAAACTTCTAGTGCCAACCCTACAGCAAAAAGGGTGAGAATTACTATGGATATGAAGAAAGAGATCATTGCTAAGTATGAAAGTGGAGTGCGTGTCTCCGAGCTGGCCAGGTTGTACACAAAACCCCAATCAACCATCGCTACTATTGTGGCCAAGAAAACGGCAATCAAGGAAGCTGTTCTTGCCAAAGGTGCAACTATGTTTTCGAAACTGAGATCGCAAGTACTCGAAGATGTTGAGAGACTGTTATTGGTGTGGGTAAATGAAAAACAGATAGCAGGAGATAGCATCTCTCAAGCAATCATATGTGAAAAGGCTAGGAAGTTGCATGACGATTTAATTAAAAAAATGCCAGCAACTAGTGGTGATGTGAGTGAATTTAAGACCAGCAAAGGTTGGTTCGAGAGATTTAAAGGGAAGGGAAGTAACCCCGGAAAAGGACTTGCCACCTCAAGTCCTAATGGAAGGGGATTCCCCTTCTAAACACTAAGACCATCAACACTCTCCCCTCCTCCCATCCCATCAATCATCACCAGATCTTCAATAAAGGTAAGTGTCATGTAACTGTGCATGTCTTCTTCAGTTTGTGTGTATTAAAATTAATTTTTCATGTGGTAAAAACAATTTTTTTTCATACTTTGGGGTGTCCTACATGGATTAATTTGATTTCCATTATTTCTTATGGGGAAAATTAACTTGACTAACGATAATTTTGACTAACGATGAGCTCTCAGGAACGGATTAATAGCGTTAGTCGAGGGTCCACTGTATACAGATCAACCAACTTTCTGTGTTTCTATTGAAATGTGGGTTATTACTGAGTATTGACAAGTCTTCATTACACTTTAGTTATTCATGTATGCAAATCATCAGTGGGCAAACATTATTTATAAAAACTAAGTCTTTAGTGTTAAACTTTTTTTAAGAAAACAACTGAATGTCTTTGTATTTGTTAAATTCAATAAAATAATTATCAAACCTTTGATGCTTTTATAGCCTGTAATATTTGATCCTGTTTCTTGAGTATTTCACACTGAGTTTTTGCTATTGTTTGTAGTTCTTTCCCAATCTTTCTTAGAGCTCTGATTTTCATTCTCTCTCTTTTTTTTTCCTTTTTTCGTAGTCGTCCCATAGCTCTCCTTTTCTCTAACGCTCAATTATGCTCATCTTGCCTGTCGTTTTACGCCTGTTCAATTTCCTTATTGAGGGAGGGAGACGGCACTGCAAGTCACCGAAGGCTGAGGCAAGCGGAAATGCAAGAGGAGCGGTCTCTGTATTGTGAGTGGTTACAGCGGAGCAATTTTGTAAAAAGTGTTGTATTCCCTAAAAGGGTGTCAGCTGGCTTTGGGGGGGAAGGAAGTCACGGGATTGTTTAGAGAACAATTGTAATAAACAGATATAAATGGGGGGAACTTAAATTTCTGGAAATTTCAAGTCACTAACACAAATTCCAGAGATTAAAAAAGTGTTAGAGTAGGAATTTAAATCAAAGAAGCAGGCAAATAATTTATTTTTAAATGCCAAAAAACCCCCAAAAACCACATACAGGAGGGGTTTTTTTAATTACCCAGCCATGGTATTGTCTCTTTTTATATCACAAAATTTTTTTAACTCCTGCGTTTTGACGTATCCCTGATGCTTACAGGAAGACTTTTTTTAAGATACTGTACAAAAAAACCATCGTCTACTTTAAACTGAAATTTATACTTTTAAATGATTTTTACTGAACCATCCCCCCATAGCTCGATGGTTTTAGCGCACTCAGTACACTGAGGCCATGGTTAAAATTCCCCCCAGTAGGCTGGGAAAATTTTGGGGATTTGGTTTCCCAAGACACCTACTGCCCCTGTCCCTGTTCACCCATCATTTAAAATGGGGTCCTGGTGTTAGTCGAGGGTTTGGGTCGCACCCGGGGAAAAAACTGCCCTAATTTCCCCGAAATGCTCAGCTAATAAGGGTTTCTGTATAGTTATGTCTGATGTCAGCTTGGTTGCTCCCTTTTTTCCATGTACTTGTAGTAAATAAAAAATTTATTAAAAATTGTAAAAAAATTGACAATTTTGATGAGAAGGGACGTAAACATTGGTATCTTTACTGAATTTTTAAATTATGTGTGGGCTTCTTCAGTAAATACGAGAATGGATTGTAGGCAGCAGATTTTGCTCCATGGATTGAACTCTTCTCCATGCTGAGGGCTGACTCCCCAAAAAAATATTTCTCCGGGGGCTGATGAACTGTTTACATCATCTTGACTCGTCATACTTTGCCTTCAATCCATTTCCGATTTGACCGAAGAAACCACTGCGAAAGGTGAAACATTTTCGAAGTAAAGATACCCCTGTTGCCATGTTTTTTACTTATCTTCAATTTAAAAGCATAGAGAGCGCAAACATTAAAGAATACATGTAAATTTATTCTATGCTGCTAGAAAAATCACCGTATATTACATATTTCATTATTTTGAGTTAATTTACCATAAAAATGATTTAATTTACTTTCACCTCAACTAATCTAGGATAACCCAAAACAATATTTAATTTTTTAATTCTTTAGACCAGGGAGGGAAACAATGAACTTAATGGTTATTCATTTAAAATTTTTTGTCATCTTTGTAAATAGTATTACTTTATAATAAAAAAAATATCTTCATAAAATGCCATGATATTTGGAAAAAAAAAGGGGTCCTTTTGATAATACGAAACCATATGAAAGGAACAGAGAAGTTAGACAGGGGGAAAGCAATTTTTTTCCAGTGTTACTTCTTCGCAAAGTTTGCTCAATACTGTCGATTAAAAAATAATACATATGATATTAAAAAAAACCTTCATCTTGGACTTTGGTATAATGAAGGGAAAAAAAAATCAAACCTGTGAATACACCCTCTCCTTTGCGAGATTCTTCCGAGACTCAGATTCGATGGGCTCTTTGCCAGTATTCAACCTAAATAAGTTATTGAGTGATTTTCTTACTCTGTTTAATACCATTAAAGTACCTATGTAAAAAATTTAAAATAACCGAAATGAAAAATGGTGCAAAGGTGACTTAAAGGGATATCATAGATGGTTGACACAAATCACTACCATCATAGATGCTCCTCACTTTGCAACGAATTCGTTTAAGATGTGGTTTAGGAATGGAAATTGTCATTAAGGTGGGGGGGGGGTGCATTTCGGCTTTTAAAATTCTTCTTTTACCACTTATAAATATAAACTGTTCCAGCAATTACAGTTTTTAATTAAACATTTTTTTTAAAAAAACCCCCGCCTTATACCAAAGCAGGGTGACCCAAAGAAGAAATATTTTTACCATCATTACATTATCACTGTCTTACAAGAGGAGCACAGATACGACAGTTAAGATGTCACTCTAAACAGCAAGTATCCCAAACCCCTTCTTTAAAGTTCAGGCATTGCACCTCCCACCTCCAGGACTCGAGTCCAGCTAACCAGTTTCCCTGATACAGCAATACCCTGGTATATGCAGGGAATATGTTCCAAAGCCTACTGTGGATACCTAAAACTGTGGATAGTAGCAAACCCTATGTACACCTATCATCCGACTTATGACCGAGTTCGGTTCCGAGAAACCGGTCGTAAGTCGAAATGGTCGCAAGTCGAACTTTACTACTGAATATCAACAAAATATTTTTGTAATTACTTTATTTTATTGTTTTATTTTGGTATTTCATGTTTTACTTTACTTTTTATGTTGTTAGTACTGCATTTTATACTGTAAAGTTTAGGATAAACGCTGTGTACAACACAAATAGTTGTTTATTTCCCAGAAATTTGGCATAAAAAACATGGTCGTAAGTCAAGTGGTCGTAAGTCGAGTGGTCGTAAGTCGAGCAGGTCGTAAGTCGGATGGTAGGTGTATATAAGTCATTTTTCATTTACATATAGTGTATACCTATGATAAAGTATAACTGATAAATTACACACAATAAGTCGAGAATTAGCTTCTCTTAGGCTTTGAAGAACTGTCAGCATCACTACTATTTCACTTTGGGGCTGTTATGAAGCAAAATTAAGGGTTATTTTTGGGCCATAGTAAACCGTGGAAAACAATCCACGGATACGGGGGTTCTACTCTATATGATATATTAAATACTGAACACTGGATACCATGATCATACCTGTGACTAGTTTCAAGAGTTCTTTTGTCCCTGCAGCCCAGCCTGAAGCCAAACTTAGTTGTTGATTGGCTTGTCAACCAGGCTGTTACTGTTAACAGCCTAGAAACGTACACAGCCCATCCTCATAATCAGCGTCAATATACTGTACTGTATCAGTTTGGCTAAGAATGTCAAAAGTGTGACTGTGACAGTGGAATGAAAATATCACCATTTGATATTTAGCTTTATTGTGCCATAGTTGTGTTTCTACTTTCCATCTGTGCTTCAAAAGCTATCAACCTTATGCATCAGTGCATCTATTGGCATTATGATATGCTATAATTACTGTAGTTAAATTCTGCTTATAGATGACAATTTAACCTGACCAAACTTAACCAAAATAACATACTGTATATAGAAAAGTTTTTTCCTCCGTAAGCCATGCATGTGGTAAGAGGCGACTAAAATACCAGGAGCAAGGGACTAATAACCCCTTTTCCTGTATATATTACTAAATTTAAAAAGAGAAACTTTCATCCCCCCCCCTTTTTTTTGGGGTCACCCTACCTCAGTGGGATACGGCCAGTTCGTTGAAAAAAATATATAGAAAGAAATTGCTAAAACTCTTCTGCAAGAAATTGATGTTTGCTTTAGGAGCACAAGTTGCATCACAACCTGGCTGTAATGTACTGGTAATTAACAAAGGTAAGATGTTTCCTTTGAAAACTTTCTCTACAATTAATCGCTTGAAGAAGGTGAAGATATTTACCAAAAACATTGACAGTATTTCTGACTGTGGTTATGATACCCTTGCTGAGCCTTAATGTGCTTAATATTACATTAGTGTGGTGTCCATAGCCGATTGTAGAACACTCAGCTCACACAATGTGGTTGATCCCAGAGGGGGGAACATGGTTGTTTCCTACTCGGCTGTCCATATTCCCTAGCAGAAAGTAGGAAATACTGGGTGTTAGCCGATGGTGTGGTTGCATCCTGGGACAAGATTAACCCTTAGTTATCCAAAATGCTCGGGCATAACCAGGGGCTTTCTGTATGTAGCCCATTGATGTTATTTGATGTCTGCACAATTTGGGTGTCATGTATTGTAGAAATAAAGTTTATTATTATTTTCATTATTATTACCCTGCAGGTCATGGAGGTGTGGCTGCGTGCAACTAACGGTACAGCTTAAAAGACCCTACTTAAAAATAGGAAATTGTTCCAAAAGGTATATATGAAATATTTCAGTGTTATTGAAAGTTCACTATCTTAATCTCTTTCTACATCAATTGTAAGATCCTATTGTTTAGTTTAATCATGTAAAAAATACAAGACACTTATTTTGGTTCTGCAAAATAGATAAATTTAACTTAAAGAATAGAAAGACACAACACCTTGACTGGAACAATACACAAATAATCCACACATAGGAGAAAGAAGCTTATAACGATGTTTTGGTCTGATTTTGACCATTAACTATTTCATGGTTCCAGACGGACCAAAACATCGTCATGAGTTTCTTTCTCTAATGTCAATTTATTTTGCAAAATTAAAAAACTTAGGCACATATGGATAGCAGGTTATGAGAGGAAGAGGAAGAATGTATCTCCTTATTTCCAATGGAAATAAGTCACTCTGTCTGACTTTTTTGGGTTATCCTAGGTTCTCTACACACATGCTGCTATGTATGATAATTCTATGTAACTGTATTTGTGTATACCTGAATAAACTTACTTACTTACTTACTTACTTACTTAATCAGTTAATAACTTCAGGATCACTGCCACCATTGCCTGGTCTCGGACTAGAACTACCAAACTGACAAGGATTTATTACAGGAATAAGAACTATTAAAGTAAGATGGAAGTAAAGGCAAAACAGCAAAAGAAAAGACTACTTTACTGTATATATAATATATATAATAGCATTCAGAGTGCCTGCACTCTGGAGGAGGGGTGGCAATATTTGCAGTTTTGAACTGTAGTATTGGCAATCCTCTGGCAAGACAGTGATGGAGTGAGTGGTGACGAAAGTGTTTCTTCTTTTTTTGAGGTCACCCTGCCTTGGTGGGAGATGGCCAGTGCATTAAAAAAATGCTGAAGAATTACATTAGAGTAATTTTATTTACCTATTATGTAGGGTAGAGAATTTTTAAAAATATCATATACCCCTAATTCTATACCCTTCCACAGAGAGCAACTGCAGTGCCTTCAGTCTACTGTATCTTCGTAGAAGAGCTTTCTAGAATGAAATTAATTTTGCCATCTCTCTGCAGTTTGAGTAAGCTTTGAGTTCTACTTAAAACCATACCCCGTTCTACATTAATTTATCCCTCTGTTTTAATGGATTTTACCTCGCACCTCATTCAGACTTACAGAAATGCAGCTATGTATAAGGAACCTCTCAACCACAGAGTTAAAAACGTGACAAGAAAGTACAGCCTCTCCTTACTTAAGGATGGAGTTCTGTTCCTAAGACCACATTGGTAAACAAATTCATCACTAAGCTTGGAGTGTACTATAATGGTAGTGGGTTTGTGTCAACCATCTTTGATTTTGTTTTAATGTCACTTTTGCACCATTTATAAAATTTTAAATGTAATACAGTAGTGTATTAAGTGAACCTAATCAACAAGAGTGAATAGTGACAAGAATAGTACAACTTTAGGGGCATTAATAAGATAAGATTTCGTTCGATTTTAACCCGGATTGGTAAGCCATTCCAGTCATAACCCAAGAAAGTCATAATGCGTCATCGGGACTGTCAACTTATTTCCATGGGGTCCTTAATCTTGTCACCCAGGATGCGCCCACCATTCGACTAACACTTAGGTACCTATTGCTGCTAGGTGAACAGGATAACAGTGTAAGAAACGTGTCGAAATGTATCACACGGGAATAACGAACCGGCCTCCGTGATGATAGCGGGAGCTTAGCACCTAGGCCACCGGCATCTGGTCAGAGAGCCTGTCATAAGTCTGAGTCGTTGGTAAATGAGTACATCGCTAAGTGAGGAGAGGCTGTACTGTATATTCTGAATATAAAGTGGAGAGAAATACCTGGTAATATTCCCAGGGAGGTTTCTTTGGAGAAAATTCCTTCTTGACCCTTTTAAACGTTCCAAGAAGGTTGTTCCACTTCCGTCTAATTCTTTCTTGAGAGAAATTGTACCCATGCATAGTCAGTTCTTCATGCAACTCTTTGTACACCTGAGGTCGAGATCGATTATTGGAAGACAACTCTGCATAGCGTTTTCTGATGCCTTCAATCAGTAGCAAAGTAGCTTCGTTACTGAACTCTACATCCTCTGTAAGAGAAAGATTAATTGTGAGATGTTTTGAAAATATTAATAACAAAGGAAAAAACGCACATTCTTTTAACACACTGGCCGTCTCCTACCAAGGCAGGGTGACCCAAAAAATAACACTTTCACCATCATTTACACTATCACTATCTTGCCAGAGGAGCACAGATGTTCCTCTAAACAGCAAATATCCTAAATCCCTTATTCAGAGTGCAGGCACTGTTCTTCATTCATGATTTAACCTTTAAAAATTAAAAGATCTAAGCAACTCAACTGTGTGAAAATTAATTACAGTAAAAAGAGTAACAATAAGAATAAAGTGAACCGAGTTATTTACATGAACATTAAAGAGAGAATCAGCTTATAATAATAAGTACATAAATGTTAACTATACAAGAAATCTCTCCTCCCTTTCTGTAGTGATTTGTTAGTACAGATGTATAAATAAGTCTTCACAGTAAGTAATAAAGTTTATTCAGGTATACACAAATACAGTTACATAGATTATCATACACAGCAGCATATGTGTAGAGAACCTGGGATAACACAAGAGAGTCAAACAGTGTCTTATTCCATTGGGATTCATGACTACATAATACAGAAGATATAATGCAATACTGGGTTATCCTGGGTTAGCCACCCAGGATAACCCAAGGAAGTTAGTGTGTCAGCAAGGACTGTCTTACACAGTAGATATAAGTGATATATAAGCCAGGGATAATATAATCCTCACACAGCAGATATAACTAATATATAAGCCAGGGATAATATAATCCACACACAGCAGATATAAGTAATATATAAGCCAGGGATAATATAATCCTCACACAGCAGATATAAGTAATATATAAGCCAGGGATAATATAATCCTCACACAGCAGATATAAATAATATATAAGCCAGGGATAATATAATCCTCACATAGCAGATATAAGTAACATATAAGCCAGGGATAATATAATCCTCACACAGCAATATAAGTAATATATAAGCCAGGAATAATATAATCCTCACACAGCAGATATATAAGCCAGGGATAATATAATCCTCACACAGCAGATATATAAGCCAGGGATAATATAATCCTCACACAGCAGATATAAGTAATATATAAGCCAGGAATAATATAATCCTCACACAGCAGATATAAGTAATATATAAGCCAGGGATAATATAATCCTCACACAGCAGATATATAAGCCAGGGATAATATAATCCTCACACAGCAGATATAAGTAATATATAAGCCAGGGATAATATAATCCTCACACAGCAGATATAAGTAATATATAAGCCAGGAATAATATAATCCTCACACAGCAGATATATAAGCCAGGAATAATATAATCCTCACACAGCAGATATAAGTAATATATAAGCCAGGGATAATATAATCCACACACAGCAGATATAAGTAATATATAAGCCAGGGATAATATAATCCTCACACAGCAGATATATAAGCCAGGGATAATATAATCCACACACAGCAGATATAAGTAATATATAAGCCAGGGATAATATAATCCTCACACAGCAGATATAAGTAACATATAAGCCAGGGATAATATAATCCACACAAAGCAGATATAAGTAATATATAAGCCAGGGATAATATAATCCTCACACAGCAGATATAAGTAATATATAAGCCAGGGATAATATAATCCTCACACAGCAGATATAAGTAATATATAAGCCAGGGATAATATAATCCTCACACAGCAGATATAAGTAATATATAAGCCAGGAATAATATAATCCTCACACAGCAGATATAAGTAATATATAAGCCAGGAATAATATAATCCTCACACAGCAGATATAAGTAATATATAAGCCAGGGATAATATAATCCACACACAGCAGATATAAGTAATATATAAGCCAGGGATAATATAATCCTCACACAGCAGATAAAGTATATATAAGCCAGGGATAATATAATCCTCACACAGCAGATATAAATAATATATAAGCCAGTGATAATATAATCCTCACACAGCAGATATATAAGCCAGGGATAATATAATCCTCACACAGCAGATATAAGTAATATATAAGCCAGGAATAATATAATCCTCACACAGCAGATATATAAGCCAGGGATAATATAATCCTCACACAGCAGATATAAGTAATATATAAGCCAGGGATAATATAATCCTCACACAGCAGATATATGTAATATATAAGCCAGGAATAATATAATCCTCACATAGCAGATATAAGTAATATATAAGCCAGGGATAATATAATCCTCACACAGCAGATATAAATAATATATAAGCCAGGGATAATATAATCCTCACACAGCAGATATATAAGCCAGGGATAATATAATCCTCACAAGCCCGAAAAAGGGATAATATAATCCTCACACAGCAGATATAAGTAATATATAAGCCAGGAATAATATAATCCTCACACAGCAGATATAAGTAATATATAAGCCAGGGATAATATAATCCTCACACAGCAGATATATAAGCCAGGGATAATATAATCCTCACACAGCAGATATAAGTAATATATAAGCCAGGGATAATATAATCTCACACAGCAGATATAATAATATATAAGCCAGGAATAATATAATCCTCACACAGCAGATATAAAGTAATATATAAGCCAGGGATAATATAATCCTCACACAGCAGATATAAATAATATATAAGCCAGGAATAATATAATCCTCACACAGCAGATAAATATATAAGCCAGGATAATATAATCCTCACACAGCAGATATAAGTAATATATAAGCCAGGGATAATATAATCCTCACACAGCAGATATAAGTAATATATAAGCCAGGGATAATATAATCCTCACACAGCAGATATATAAGCCAGGGATAATATAATCCTCACACAGCAGATATAAGTAATTATAAGCCAGGATAATATAATCCTCACACAGCAGATATAAGTAATATATAAGCCAGGGATAATATAATCCTCACACAGAAGATATAAGTAATATATAAGCCAGAGATAATATAATCCACACACAGCAGATATAAGTAATATATAAGCCAGGGATAATATAATCCTCACACAGAAGATATAAGTAATATATAAGCCAGGGATAATATAATCCTCACACAGCAGATATAATAATATATAAGCAGGGATAATATAATCCTCACACAGCAGATATAAGTAATATATAAGCCAGGGATAATATAATCCTCACACAGCAGATATATAAGCCAGGGATAATATAATCCTCACACAGCAGATATATAAGCCAGGGATAATATAATCCTCACACAGCAGATATATAAGCCAGGGATAATATAATCCTCACGCAGATAGTCACATAAGCCAGTCATAATCACACAAAGCAAATAAGTGTATATAGAGATAATATAATGCACACAAGCAGACATAAGTTTACAAGCCGGATATTAATCCACCCAGCAGATATATAGCCAGGATAATATAATCCTCACAATGCTGTCAAGTCCGTCTGTCAGGAAGGTAAGGTGGTGGTATTAGACACCTCATGGTCTGAAGGCAGCACTCCACATTTGAAGGCGCCATCCTCCCCAGAATCATCAGATACAACACAGAAATCCGAGTAAGTCGTTTGTGAGTGAAGAAAATGTAAAGTGAGACTTAGAACCAAATGTGATGTACTTAATTTATCAACCTTTTTATATTTTGTGTTTATTTAAGTAAAGTGTGTAGAAGTGTAAGTGTGTTAGTAAAAGTGATTTAAGTGTGTGAAGTTGTAAAGTATGTATGTAAAGTATGGGAGGGAATAATGGTTCACTCAAACTTTTGAAGCTTTTAAATGAGTGGCTATGTAAGAGTAAGTAAAGTATGTAAGTAGATGTAAGTGAAGTGTATAAGTAAAAGTAAGTAAAGTTAGTATGTAAGGAAGTAAAGTATGTAAGTAATGCTTTATTCAAACCTCTGAATCTTCCATACTATGTATGTACAAGTAAGTAAAGTGTGTAAGTACAAGTAAGTAAAGTGTGTAAGTACAAGTAAGTAAAGTGTATAAGTACAAGTAAGTAATGAAGTAAAGTAAGTAAGTAACCATAATGGAAATAAGTCACTTTGACTTTTCTGAGGAGGTTACATTAGGTAATATATACGTATGTTACTATATATAATGATTTATGTAAGTGTAGTTATGTGTAGCTGTACCTAAATAAACTTACTGATAGTAAACACATTACACAAAAACACCTAAAGGAAATTAATACTGGGAAATAAGGCAAATATTTTGACTTTATTGGGTTATCCTAGGTCCAATTATCCATATTTTACAAGATAAAACCACTCTAAAGGCTTCAAATTATGCATGAGGCCAAAATAAAGCCAGTAGTAATAACTATTACTACATGTATAATAATAATAATAATAATAATAATAATAATAATAATAATAATAATAATAATAATAATAATAATAAATGTACAATATTTAGAGCCTTCAGAGTGTGTGGGAGCTATAAAAGGCGACATAAATCCTAGAATACAGGAGAAATAAGCTTTATACATATGTATATTCCCGGATTCATTAACTCAGGTGAATGAATCCAGAGTCGCGAGACTCTGAATCTCAGAGACCGAGACGGGAATGAAGCTTTGTAAATGCGCATTTGTCCCCATAACTATATGACAATATTCGTGAATTATTTAACATTATCCTGACACAGCGTAATTTTAGGATATGGAAAATGTCAGGGAGAAAATATTCGACGAGTGTTTATAATAAATATTTAATTTTTATCTTTAATGTTGTTCCAATAATCGTTCGTCAAATCCACAACGTTCCACGAGCCTAAATGTTGTATATTGTTGTTTATAAATGTGGTGTAATGTATGGATAGTTTTATTATACTGTATTTTATTGTATATCTCAGCAGAGAGATGAGGTGAAGGGAGAGAGATGAGGTGAAGGGAGAGAGATGAGGTGAAGGGAGAGAGATGAGGTGAAGGGAGAGAGATGAGGTGAAGGGAGGAGAGGATGAGGTGAGAGAGAGTGAGAGAGATGAGGTGAAGGGGAGAGAGATGAGGTGAAGGGGAGAGAGATGAGGTGAAGGGGAGGAGAATATGAGGTGAAGGGAGAGGTGAGGTGAAGGGAGAGAGATGAGGTGAAGGGAAGAGGTGAGGTGAAGGAGAGAGATATGAGGTGAAGGGAGAGGTGAGGTGAGGGAGGGAGAGATATGAGGTGAAGGTGAGGAGGAGATGAGGTGAAGGGAGAGATATGAGGTGAAGGGAGAGAGATGAGGTGAAGGGAGAGAGATGAGGTGAAGGGAGAGAGATGAGGTGAAGGGAGAGAGATGAGGTGAAGGGAGAGGTGAGGTGAAGGGAGAGAGATGAGGTGAAGGGAAGTGAGGTGAGGGAAGGGAAGAGATATGAGGTGAAGGGAGAGAGATGAGGTGAAGGGAGAGATATGAGGTGAAGGGAGAGATATGAGGTGAAGGGAGAGAGATGAGGTGATAGGGAGAGAGATGAGGTGAAGGGAGAGAGATGATGAGGTGAAGGGAGAGAGATGAGGTGAAGGGAGAGGTGAGGTGAAGGGAGAGATATGAGGTGAAGGGAGAGAGATGAGGTGAAGGGAGAGATATGAGGTGAAGGGAGAGATATGAGGTGAAGGGAGAGAGATGAGGTGAAGGGAGAGAGATGAGGTGAAGGGAGAGAGATGAGGCGAAGGGAGAGAGATGAGGTGAAGGGAGAGAGATGAGTGAAGGAGAGAGAGATGAGGTGAAGGGAGAGACATGAGGTGAAGGGAGAGGTGAGGTGAAGGGAGAGGTGAGGTGAAGGGAGAGAGATGAGGTGAAGGGAGAGAGATGAGGTGAAGGGAGAGAGATGAGGTGAAGGGAGAGAGATGAGGTGAAGGGAGAGAGATGAGGTGAAGGGAGAGACATGAGGTGAAGGGAGAGGTGAAGGTGAAGGGAGAGTGAGGTGAAGGGAGTGAGAGATGAGGTGAAGGGAGAGAGATAAGGTGAAGGTGAGAGAGATGAGGTGAAGGGAAGAGAGATGAGGTGAAGGGAAGGTGAGGTGAAGGGAGAGAGATGAGGTGAAGGGAGAGAGATGAGGTGAAGGGAGAGAGGTGAGGTGAAGAGTAAGTTTATTCATGTATATACAAAAAAGTCAGAGTGACTTATTGCCATTGTAGGTCTTTTAATATCTTATTATTATACTATAAAGGAGATAATATCTTATTATTATACTATAAAGGAGATAATATCTTATTATTATACTATAAAGGAGATAATATCTTATTATTATACTATAAAGGAGATACAGTAAGAATAAGGTAAAATAAGTTATTTACATTTATATGTTTGTTAGCTAAAAAAAATAAAAAAAAATCATTGCCCTCCCTTTCTGTAGCTACATTCATCAGACACTTTTTGGCAGTCTTCTTGAACTGGTTCATGTTATGACTGGCTTTGACATGTGCGGGTAGTCTGTTCCATTCCTTTATTACTGTACAATAAAAGGTGTTTGAAGCCTGGCCACTGACTGTGGCTACTACAAAGTTGTGCTCTCTCCCCCTAGTACTATGATTACTTTGGTTCCCAACCTTGACAAAATTGACACCAAGATATTGTGGACACTGTTCGTGAGCAATTTTATAAACATGATTTAACTTCAGTTGTTTTACTCTGTCTTCAACATTCAACATATCCAACTGTTGTAATTCATCCTGGCCTACATGTTCTCTTGGTCCCAGGTCCAGGATGAATCTTACTATTTTGTTCTGGGTGATTTGTAGTCTATCTTTCTTTTTTGTGTGTGTCAAGGCAGAGTACTATGAAGAGCAAGCGTAGTCCATATGGCATTGTATAAGTGCTAGACATAGTGTCCTGCGTGCCTCAGTAGGTAGACACTGTGCCTCAGTAGGTAGACACTGTGCCTCAGTAGGTAGACACTGTGCCTCAGTAGGTAGACACTGTGCCTCAGTAGGTAGACACTGTGCCTCAGTAGGTAGACACTGTGCCTCAGTAGGTAGACACTATGCCTCATTAGGTAGACACTGTGCCTCAGTAGGTAGACACTGTGCCTCAGTAGGTAGACACTGTGCCTCAGTAGGTAGACACTGTGCCTCAGTAGGTAGACACTGTGCCTCATTAGGTAGACACTGTGCCTCAGTAGGTAGACACTGTGCCTCAGTAGGTAGACACTGTGCCTCAGTAGGTAGACACTGTGCCTCAGTAGGTAGACACTGTGCTTGTCTGTAGAGGAACTTCAGTCCGGTATTCGCTTTCTTTACTACACTGTTCCCTATCAGTTCTCCTGACATGCATGGGTCAAAGAGGATCCCAGATATTTCAGTGAGGAAACTGAAGTGATGGGCTCCCCATTACACTGGACATTAAAATTATCTACCCTTCCCAGTTTATGTTTCGTGCCAAAGAGTATGGTTTCCGTTTTCCCGAGGTGTAACGATAGTCTACTAACCATTTGCTGCAGGACTCCAGTTCCAGTGTTAATACATTAGCTATATCTTGTGGGTCTTTACCTGACACTAACACAGCACTGTCATCTGCATACAGTAGGAGTTTGCACTTAACATTGATGGAAATGTCATTAACATAACATAGGAATAATGAAGAACCCAAAATACTACCTTGGGGAACTCCACGTGTTATCGGCAGGGGTTCTGACTCTGTTTTGTTGATTTTGACAATTTGTTTCCTGTTGTTAAGATATGTGTTTGTAAACACATGAAAGCCAGGATGTATACTAACTGTACATCCTTAGTAAACTTAAGGAATGTGGAGAGGCAGTGATTGGTAGTGTGGAGAGGCAGTGTTGAGAGGCAGTGATTGGTAGTGTGGAGAGGCAGTGTTCCTCTGTATTGGTGCGTCTACTTGCGTGTGTTATACATGTACGTGCATTTACGTACATGCTCGAGTGTGAATATGCTTTTATGCGTATACATGTGCGTTCATGCGTGTACGTGTGTACGCACGAGCGTACGGACACAGTTGGTTCACAAGAAAGTGGATCACTGTCAGTGTGTCAGTGATGTAGTCACTGCCAGACCCTGGTGAAGGTAGGTGTCACCTGTCTCATCCTCTACCAGTATATACCTCTATATATCCCTGCTTATACTCCTATATATACCTCTATATGTCCCTGCTTATACTCCTATATATACCTCTATGTATCCCTGCTTATACTCCTATATATACCTCTATGTATGCTTGCTTATACTCCTTTATATACCTCTATATATCCCTGCTTATACTCCTATATATACTTTATTATCTTTTTATACTTTTATTAACCCCTCTATATATCCTTGCTTATACTCCTATTATACCTCTTATATCCTGCTGTTACTCCTTTATAAAATACCCTTTTATTTTCTATACCCTCTATATACCTGTTTCTTTTTCCTCTGTATATCCCAGTTTACCTCTAAAAATTCCGTTTTCTTTTATCCCCGTATATACGTGCTATCTTTGTTTATCCTCGTGTATCCCCGTATATACCATTATATCGTCTTGCTTATCCTCGTATATCCTTGTTCAACGCTAGGTATCCCTGTTCAACGCTAGAAATCCCTGTTCAGCGTTAGATATCCCTGTTCAACGCTAGGTATCCCTGTTCAACGCTAGGAATCCCTGTTCAGCGCTAGATATCCCTGTTCAGCGCTAGATATCCCTGTTCAGCGCTAGATATCGCTGTTCAGCGCTAGATATACCTGTTCAACGCTAGGAATCCCTGTTCAGCGTTAGATATCCCTGTTCAACGCTAGATATCCCTTGTTCAGCTCTAGCTATCTCTGTTCATTGCTAGATATCCATATTCAGCGCTAGATATACCTATTTACAAATATTTGTTTACAGACTCACATATACCATATATACCATGTATACCACATATACCATGTATACCACATATACCATATATACCATCTACCATATATACCACATATACCATATATACCACATACACCATATATACCACATATACCACATATACCATATATACCACATATACCACATGTACCATATATACCACATATACCATATATACCACATATACTATATATACCGCATATACCACATATATCAGAGTACAAAACAAATTCTGGCCACAAAATAGAGCGAAACACCAACGTCAAAGACCTGGGAGTGATCATGTCGGAGGATCTCACCTTCAAGGACCATAACATTGTATCAATCGCATCTGCTAGAAAAATGACAGGATGGATAATGAGAACCTTCAAAACTAGGGAGGCCAAGCCCATGATGACACTCTTCAGGTCACTTGTTCTATCTAGGCTGGAATATTGCTGCACACTAACAGCACCTTTCAAGGCAGGTGAAATTGCGACTAGAAAAAGTACAGAGAACTTTCACGGGGCATAACGGAAAATAAAAAAACCTAATTACTGGGAGCGCTTGGGGTTCCCAAAACCTGTATTCCTGGAAGCAGGGGGAGAGATACATGTTAATACCCTGGAAAACCCCTAGGGGACTAGTCCCGGAACTTGCACACAAAAATCACTCAATAAAAAGCAAAAGACTTGGCAGACGATGCACCTCCCCCAATGAAAAGCGGGGGTTTCATAGCACTTTAAGAGACCATACAATAAGTGTCAGGGGCCCGAGACTGTTAATGCCCCCCAGCACAATAAGGGGATTACCCAAAAGACCCCCGGCCCGTTTCAAGCTGGCCCGGACAAGCACCTAAAGTCGTTGGGTCGCGGGCTGTGGCTCGTACGTTGGTTTGCGTGCAGCCGCCGCAAAGCCTGGTTGATCAGGCCCTTTATCCACCCGAGGCCTGGTCACAGACCGGGGGCCGGGGGGGGCGTTGACCCCGGAACTCTTCCCGGTAAACTCCGGTATAACCCCGGCGCGGAAAAAAGAATAACAGAGCGGCCCAAAAGGGTAATCTATCTGAAAGCGTGGGAGACACTGGTCAGGAAATAGCAAAAAATTTGAAATTAAGCTAAAGGAATTTATAGGAGTCAGGAATCGGGGGAAATAAAAGCCAAAAAAGAAAACGAAAGAAACCCCAAAATATTTTTCTCCCATGCCAAATCAAAATCGAGACAAGTCCCGTATTGGGCCCCTTTCTTAAACAAGATGGGTTTTCACAAGATGCGAAGGAAATGGGAGAATCAAGTCCAATATGACTCAGTTTTAGCAAGCCCCTAACAGACTGAGAGTCGAAGATCAAAAAGTTTTTTTTTTTAGAGAGCCCCCAGAATTTTGGTTTTAAAACAAACCTTTTGATGTTATCTGAGCAAATGACTTCGAAACAGGCGGACTAAATGACATGCCCTTGCTCTCGTCCCTGGGCCAGGACTATGGAGAGCTCGTGTTCATCAAGTAACTGCAAGAGCCCCCTATCACGAAGCCTTTACATCCTGTGGAGAGAGCATGGACACGGGGGTCGTCTCCCACAGTTACTAAAAACAACAGACATAGCCCCACTCCACAAAGGGGGCAGTAAAATGCATTATGCAAAGGAACTACAGACCGATAGAAAAAAATATTTTTAACCACTAACATCCCATTCATAAAAATCTTTGAAAGGGTCTAAGAAGACAAGATCAACACCCATCTAGAAACCCATCAGTTACACATCCCAGGGCAACCTGGGTTTAGAACAGGGTCGCTCCTGTCTGTCTCAAACTATTGGATCACTACGACAATGTCCTAGATGCACTACGAAGGACAAAAAGAATGCAGATGTATATATACAGATTTGCAAAAGCCTTCGACAAGTGTGACATGACGTTATAGCTCACAAAATGCCGTGCTAAAGGGGAAATAACTGGAAAAGTCGGTAAATGGATCTATCATTTCCTCATAACAGAACACAGAGAGTAGTCATTCAACAGAGTAAAGTCCGAGGCAGCTACGGTGAAAAAAGCTCTGTTCACAAGGCACAGTACTGTCCCATCTTGTTCTCTTCCTCATTTCCGCATTAGACAAGGATGCTCACCACAGCACCGTGTCTTCGCCTTTGCAGTTGACAACCGAATTCTGGCTTGACAGGTGTTTCCATTGCAGACATGCAAGGCTCCAGGCGGATCAACCGAAATCTTTCTGTGGGCTGCAGAAAAAAATATGAAGTTCAACGTTGAGAATTTCAATTACTCAGTATGGTAACATGAGGAAATTAAAATCTTCATCAGAGTACTAAACAATTCTGGCCACAATATAGAGCGAAACACCAACGTCAAAGACCTGGGGAGGTGATCATGTCGGAGGATCTCTCCTTCAAGGACCATAACATTGTATCAATCGCATCGGCTAAGAAAATGAACAGGATGGATTACGAGAACCTTCAAACACTAGGGATGCCAAGTCCATGATGACACTCTTTTAGGTCACTTGTTCTTTCTAGGCTGGAATATTGCTGCACACTAACAGCAACTTCAAGGCAGGTGAAAATGCCGACTAGAAACTGTACAGAGAACTTTACGGCGCGAATAACGGAGTTAAATCACTCTCAATTACTGGGTGCGCATGGAGGTTCCTAAACCTGTATTCCCTGGAATGCGTGGTGGGCAGAGATACATGGATTATTTACCCTGGAACAATCCTAGAGGGACTTGTACCGAACTTGCACACGATATATCTTCTCACTTCGAAAAGCAAAGCTTGGCAGACGATGGAACATCCCCCCCATTGTAAAAGCAGGGGTGGCTACTTGCATCGTGTTATGAGACCATACTATAGGGGCTGGGGCCGAGTAGGTGCAACGGCAGCCCAGCAGGTACTGAAGGGGGAGGTGACATTATGTCAATCGATCTGGTCTAGGTTGCTTGGCGGGGGCATATGGGTCAAGCTACCGTATAGGATGGGCCGGTCATGCCGGGAGGGGTATAGGAGGGGGGGTGAGGGCTGCCTTGATGATTATGTGGGGGTATGATGGAGCGGTGAACACCTGGTGCGAAGGGGCTATGTACAGGGCCGCGGGGGCGGGGTAAAAGGTTCGAGCAGAATGGGTTTTGATGGGAGTCATGAGTGTAATCTGTGTACTACTGTCAATATGTGTATATGTGTTAATATGTGTACTATTGTACTATGGTACTGTGTGTAATATGGTGTATATGAGTAATATGTGTACATATGTAGTCCATATGTGTAATATGTGTACAAACAACAATTTTTTCTTATGTGTACAGTGTGTCCTAGTGAACTATGTGTCATATGTGTAATGTGTGTAACGTGTGTACTCATGTGTACTATGTGTAATATGTGTAAGTGTGTATATGTGTAATATGTGTAAATGGGTACATGTGTGTAATATGTGTAATAGGTGTACATATGTGTTATTATAGTGTAATATGTGTAATTATGTGTAATATGATGTACATATTTGTAATATGGTGTACTGTGTGTTCTGTGTGTGTAATATGTGTACTATGTGCTAATATGGTGTAATCTTGGAGTCTGTGGTAATCTGTGTAATTATGAGGTAATTTGTGTCAATCTGGGGTCCTGTGAGTAATATGTGTAATATGTGTATTAGTGGGTAAGACTAGAATGGGTAATGTGTGTCCTTCTGTGTCATCGATGGTGTAATATGTGTACTGTTGTGTAACATGTGTGTAAATAATGTGTATATGGGTAATCTATGCTGTAATGTGTGTTAAATGTGATAAATGTAATATGTGTTTTTTGAACATATGTGTAAGCTATGTGTAATCATGTGTACTATGTGTAATGATGTGTTAATATGTGTATCTGTGTGAATAATGTGTAATAAGGTGTAATGTGTTATCTGTGTCGCATCTGTGTAATGTAGTGTTAATGTAGTGGAAAATGATGTGTATACTGTAATATGTCATATGTGTTATATGTGTACTATGGGTATCTCTGTGTAATATGGTACTATGTGTAATATGGTGTAGTAAGTTGTATATGTGTAATATGGTGTAAAATGGTGTAATATGTGTCCTCTGTGTAATAATGTGGTAATGTAGTGGTAATATGTGTCATATGGTGTCTATAGTGTAGATGTTGTGGAATATGTGTAATTAGTGTAATCGATGTAATATGAAGTGTAGATATGTGTCATGTGCTGTACTCTGTGTAATATGTGTAATATGTGTACTGTGTGTAATAGAGTAATCTGGTGTAAATTGTCATATGTGTCATATGTGGTACTGTGTGTCTCTATGTGTATATGTGTAGACAGTCGTGTGAGACTGTTTGTAATATGTGTGCACTATGGGTCGTTAGAGAACTCAATGGGGTGTAAGATATGAGTGTAATCTGTTGTAACTGTGTGTAATTGCTGTGGTATATGGTGTGAGAGTGTGTGGTGATACTAATAGTCGTGTATAATTACGTGTACTCTGTGGTCGAGTGTGTGTCAGGATGTGTACTAATAGTATTTTGTGTCATGTGGTGTAGCACTGTGTCAATCTTGGTAATGTGAGTAATCTTGTAATATGCTGTCCATATGTGGGTAATCGTGGTAATTATTTGTCATTTGGGTCATGTGTGTCCTCTGTTGTACTATGTGTAATATTGTGTATGTGGGTAATATGTGTAATTGTGTCATATGGGTAATATGTGTCTATGTGTGCAATATGGGGTAATGAGTGTACTTTGTGTCATATGTGTCTATGAGGTAGGGTGTGTATTATAGAGTAACATAGTGTTCATGTGTTCCATACTGGTGTCATATGGGTAAGTGTGTCCTATGTGTATGATATGTGTAATATGAGTAATTGATGTGTAATATGTGTATCTGTGTAATATGGGTAACTGTGTGTCAATATTGTGTCATATGTGTAATGTGTGTCTACTGTGTAATTCTGTGTAATATGTGTTAATATGTCGTAATTGGGTAATGTGTGTAATATGTGTAATATGTGTATATGTGTGTATCTGTGTAATATGATGTCATATGAGTAATTTTCGATAATATGTGTCATATGGGTTAATGTGGTGTAATATGTGTAATATGTGTTGATATGTGTAGTCGTCGTGTATATTGTGAAATATGTGCCTGTGTGTAATCTCTGTTGATAATATGGGTAATGTGTGATAATATGAGTCAATATGTGTGTTCATATGTTTAAAAAATTGTGAGTAATATGTGTAATCTGTGTATCATATGGGTAATGTGTGTAATATGAGTAATGTGTGTCATCGTTAATATGTGTAATATGTGATGTAAATGTGTAAACTATGTGTCATATGTGTAATATGGGGTAATATAGGGTCTATGGGTCATGTGTGTAATCATGGTGTAATATGAGTAATTGGGTCAATGTGTGTAATCTGTGTAATAGTGTCAATATGTGTCATATGGGTGGTAACATGTGTGTATCGATGCTGTACTCTGGTACTTATGTGTATGTGTAGTATATGTGTAATCTGTGTAATCTGATGTACCGTGTTGTGTAAAATGCTGTAAAATGGTGTCATCTGTGAATATGTGTACTATGTGGTTAATGTGAGTCCTCTAGGACCTATGTGTCGATGGAGTACAGTGTGTTTTTTTTTTTATAAAATACTGTGTAATATGTGTCCTCTGTGTCCAATGGTGTACTAAGTGTACTATGTGAACAAAGTGGTACTATGTGTAATATGTGTAATAGTGTCCTTGTGTCATCAGGGACACTATGGGTTATAATGGTACTGTTTTGATATTGTGTCATCAAGTGTACTTGGGGTAATGTGAGTACTCTTAGTTAATCTTTGTAATCTGTGTACTCTGTGTCCACTGGACCTATTTTGACCTGTGTGTACTTTGTTTCTAAATGATCCTATTTGTCCAGAGTGTCCTCATTGACCATCTTTTTCAATAATGTTTCCACTCTGGAGTACACAGTGTGTCCAATTATTTTCCTCTGGTGTCATCTGTGTACCTCTATTTACTCTTGTGGTACCTCTTGGTACCCTATGGTACTTTGTGCCACATATACCAGAACATATCTCCACTGTCACCTCATATACACATATACCATATATACCACATATACCACTTATTACCTCATACCACATATAACCACATATCCACATATACCACATGTACCCACATGTACCACATGTAGACCTATATACCACATATTCACATATACCACATGTACGCATATTATATCCTCTCATTCACATATTACACATATACCACATGTACATTATACCACATATACCTCATATACACATATACCTTATATTCACATATACACATACACACATATTCCCACATGTACCACATGTAACCACCATATTACCACATATAACTCACATATACCACATTGTTACCATATATACCAAGTATACAATATTACCCCTATACCATATTACCACATATACAATATACCAACATATAACACATTATACCACACATACCACATATACCAATTATAACCACATATTACCACATTAGATACTCCAATATATCCATATATAGGACACATATACCAATATACCACATATATCAAACATATTAACCACATAATATACCCACATTATACCACATATACCATATATACCACATATATACCACATATATACCACATATATACCACATATACCACATATATACCACATATATACCACATATACCACATATATACCACATATATACCACATATACCACATATACCACATATATACCACATATATACCACATATCCCATATATACCACATATAATACCACCATATATCCACCATAGATACCACATATACCATTATCCACATATTTATACCATATATACCATATATACCATATATTACCATATATACCCTCATATACCACATTACCACATATATACACATATACCACATATATACACTTATATCCACATTATACCACATATATACCACATATATACCACATATCTACCACATATACAATATATATACCACATATTTTACACATATATATCCACATATATACCACATATTACCACATATATACCAATATATACCACATATACCACATATATACCACATATATACCACATTATACCACATATATACCACATATATACCACATATACCACATATATACCACATATTTATACCACATTATACCAATGTACCCACATTTACCACATATACCACATAATATACCACATATATACAATATATACCACATATACCACCTATATACCACATAATTATTACAACATATATACCACATTTATAACACATATATACCACATATATACCACATATACGCGCCAATATTTACACATATTTACCACATAAACCACATATATACCACATCGTATACCACATATATACCACATATATACACACATATTACCACATTCTTATTACCACATATATACCACATATTTACCCAATATATACCACATATATACCACCAATACCACATATATACCACTTATATACCACATATATACCACATATTTTACCACAGATATACACATATATACACATATCCACATATACCACATATATACCTCTTATATACAATATATACCACATATATACCACATTACCACATATACCACATATACCCCTGGAACGCAGGAGGGAGATTACATGATTATATACACCTGGAAAATCCTAGAGGGTACTAGTACAGATCTTGCACACGAAATCACTCCCTTCCGAAAGCAAAAGACTTGGCAGAGAGGCACCATCCCCCAATGAAATGCTGGGGTCGTCATCACTAAGCACGTTAAGAGACCATACATAAGTGTCAGGGTCCCGAGATCTGTGCAACTGTACTCCCAGCACACATAGGGGGGTTTACCCATACAGAACCCTGGCAGTCTTCAAGCTGGCACTGGAACAAGCAACTAAAGTCAGTTCCCTGATCAGCCGGGCTGTGGCTCGTACGTTGGTTTTGCGTGCTGCCAGCAGCAACAGCCTGGTTTGATCAGGCGCTGATCAACCAGGAGGCCTGGTTCACAGTCCGGGCCCCCGCGGGGGCGTTGACCCCCGAAACTCTCTCCAGGTAAACTCCAGGTATATACCACATATACCACATAGTATACCACATATAACCACATATATACCACTATATACCACATATGTTACCACTTATATACCACATATATACCACTATACCAATTATTACCACATATATACCACATTAACCACATATTTACCACATATACACATTATAACACATATATACCACATATACCACATATATACCACATATACCACATATACCACATATACCACATATACCACATATACCACATATACCACATATACCATATATACCACATATATACCACATATATACCATGGTTTATAGAGCTGTAGTAAAGTGCTTTATTATCTTATTCTTGCTTAAATTTGTCTTGTTTCATAATATATTATCATGTCTTACCTTATTTTACCTTGTGTTCAGGATGCATGTGGGCGTGGTAGTGGGCGTGGTGGTGGGCGTGGTGGTGGGCGTGGCGTGGGGGGACATGTGTGACAGGAGAGACAGGAGGGCGTGGAAGGGTGACGTGGGCGTGCTGAAGCTGCCTGGGGACGCCCTTACCAACACGCTCCAGGTACGTGGCTAGAATTACTCCCCATGTCTCCACGGGATTCACTTCCAAGGAACTGGAGCTACCTTCTTCTCCTCTTCCTAGGAACAAACCTGGTTAACACCCCTCCTTCCCCAGTTACTCTTCATATTGACCAGGCTGACAGATTTAATGACTGTATTCACTTATATGTGGTTGTAGGGGTCGATTCACAGCTCCTGTACCCTATCCTGGAATGTGACAGGGAAACCCATCATATTGAACAGTGTAGCAACACACTGCTGGTGTTCCCACTGTGTAACTATCATATAGAACAGTGTAGCAACACACTGCTAGTGTTCCCACTGTGTAACTATCATATAGAACAGTGTAGCAACACACTGCTGGTGTTCCCACTGTGTAACTATCATATAGAACAGTGTAGCAGCACACTGCTGGTGTTCCCACTGTGTAACTATCTTTTAGAACAGTGTAGCAACACACTGCTAGTGTTCCCACTGTGAAAATATCATATAGAACCCGTGTAAGCAACACACTGCTGGTGTTCCCACTGTGTAACTATCATATAGAAAAAGTGTAGCAACACACTGCTGGTGTTCCCACTGTGTAACTATCATATAGAACAGTGTAGCAACACACTGCTGGTGTTCCCACTGTGTAACTATCATATGAAACAGTGTAGCAACACACTGCTGGGGTTCCCACTGTGTAACTATCATTTTAGAACAGTGTAGCAACACACTGCTTTGTGTTCCCCCTGTGTAAACTATCATATAGAACAGTGTAGCAAAAACAAATGCTGGTGTTCCCACTGTGTAACTATCATATAGAACAGTGTAGCAACACCTGCTGGTGTTCCCACTGTGTAACTATCATATAGAATAGTGTAGCAACACACTGCTAGTGTTCCCACTGTGTAAACTATCATATAGAACAGTGTTTGCAACACACTGCTGGTGTTTCCCCTGTGTAACTATCATATAGAATAGTGTAGCAACACACTGCTGGTGTTCCCACTGTGTAACTATCATATAGAACAGTGTAGCAACACACTGCTGGTGTTTCCCACTGTGTAACTATCATATATAAATAGTGTAGCGCACACTGTGGTGTTCCCACTGTGTAACATCATAAAAGAACAGTGTAGCAACACACTGCTAGTGTTCCCACTGTGTAACTATCATAAAAGAACAGTGTAGCAACACACTGCTGGTGTTCCCACTGTGTAACATCATATATAATAGTGTAGCGCACACTGCTGGTGTTCCCACTGTGTAAATCATAAATAGAACATGTAGCAACACACTGCTGGTGTTCCCACTGTGTAACTATCATATAGAACAGTGTAGCAAACACACTGCTGGTGTTCCCACTGTGTAACTATCATATAGAACAGTGTAGCAACCACTGTGGTTTTCCCACTGTTGTAACTATCATATAGAACAGTGTAGCAACACACTGCTGGTGTTCCCACTGTGTAACTTATCATATAGAACAGTGTAGCAACACACTGCTGGTGTTCCCACCCGTGTAACTATCATATATAATAGGGGTAGGGAGCACACTGCTGGTGTTCCCACTGTGTAACTATCATATAGAACAGTGTAGCACACATGCTAGTGTTCCCATGTGTAACTATCATATAGAACAGTTTAGCAACACACTCTGGTGTTCCCCCTGTGTAACTATCATATATAATAGTGTAGCAGCACACTGCTGGTGTTCCCACTGTGTTTAAATATCATATAGAACAGTGTAGCAACACACTGTAGGGGTTCCCACTGTGTAACTATCATATAGAACATGTAGCAACACACTGCTGGTGTTCCCACTGTGTAACTATCATATATAATAGTGTAGCGCACACTGCTGGTGTTCCCACTGTGTAACTATCTATAGAACAATGTAGCAACACACTGCTGGTGTTCCCACTGTGTAACTATCATATAGAACGTGTAGCAACACACTGCTGGGGTTTTCCCCCTGTGTAACTATCATTTTGAAAAGTGTAGCACACAACTGCTGGTGTTCCCACTGTGTAACTATCATATAGAACAGTGTAGCAACACACTGCTGGTGTTCCCACTGTGTAACTATCATATTTAAAAAGTGTAGCAACACACTGCTGGTGTTCCCACTGTTTTAACTATCATATAAAAATAGTGTAGCAGCCACTCATGGTGGGTTCCCACTTGGTGTAACTATCATATAGAACAGTGTAGCAACACCTGCTAGTGTTCCACTGTGTAACTACATATAGAACAGTGTAGCAACACAAGCTGGTGTTCCCACTGTGTAACCCATCATATATAATGTGTAGCAGCAACTGCTGGTGTCCCACTGTGTAACTATCATATAGAACAGTGTAGCAACACACTGTGGTGTTCCCCACTGTGTAAACTATCATATAGAACAGGTTTGCAACAACATGCTGGGGTTCCCACTGTGTAACTATCATATAGAACAGTGTAGCAAAAACACTGCTGGTGTTCCCACTGTGTAACTATCATATAGAACAGTGTAGCAACACACTGCTGGTGTTCCCACTGTGTAACTACATAAAAGAACAGTGCAGCAACATACTGCTGGTGTTCCCACGGGGTAATATCATATAGAACAGTGTAGCAACACATGCTGGTGTTCCCACTGTGTAACTATTATAGAAACATTTTTAGCAACACACTGCTGGGGTTTTCCCACTGTGTAACTATCATATAGAACTGTTTTTAGCAGCACACTGCTGGTGTTACCACTGTGTAAATATCATATAGAACAGTGTAGCAACACACTGCTGGTGTTCCCACTGTGTAACTATCATATAGAACAGTGTAGCAACACACTGCTGGTGTTACCACTGTGTAACTATCATATAGAACAGTGTAGCAACACACTGCTGGTGTTCCCACTGTGTAACTATCATATAGAACAGTGTAGCCAACACACTGCGGTGTTCCCACTGTGTAACTATCAATAGAACATGCAGCAACACACTGCTGGTGTTCCCATGTGTAACTATCATATAGAACAGTGTAGCAACACACTGCTGGTGTTCCCAAATGTGTAACTATCATATAGAAAGTGTAGCAACACACTGTGGTGTTCCCACTGTGTAACTATCATATAGAACAGTGTAGCAACACACTGCTGGTGTTCCCACTGTGTAACTATCATATAGATAGTGTAGCAACACACTGCTGGTGTTCCCACTGTGTAATATCATATATAAAAGTGTAGCAGACACTACTGGTGTTCCCACTGTGTAACTATCATATATAATAGTGTAGCAGCAAAATGCTGGGGTTCCCACTGTGAACTATCATATATAAAAGTGTAGCAGCACACTACTGGTGTTTTCCCCCTGTGTAACTATCTATATAATAGTGTAGCAGCACACTGCTGGTGTTCCCACTGTGTAACTATCATATATAATAGTGTAGCAGCACATACTGGTGTTCCCACTGTGTAACTATCATATTAATAGTGTAGCAGCACACTACTGGTGTTCCACTGTGTAACTATATATATAATAGTGTAGCAGCACACTAATGGTGTCCCACTGTGTAACTATCATATATAAAGTGTAGCAGCACACTACGGTGTTCCCCTGTGTAACTATCATATATAATAGTGTAGCAGCACACTACTGGTGTTCCCACTGTGTAACTATCATATATAATAGTGTAGCAGCACACTACTGGTGTTCCCACTGTGTAACTATCATATATAATAGTGTAGCAGCACCCCTTTCTGGTGTTCCCACTGTGTAACTATCATATATAATAGTGTAAGCCCGCACACTAATGGTGTTTTCCCCCTGTGTAACTATCATATAATAGTGTAGCAGCACACTACTGGTGTTTTCCCCCTGTGTAACTATCATATATAATAGTGTGCCACACTACTGGTGTTCCCACTGTGTAACTATCATATATAATAGTGTAGCAGCACACTGCTGGTGTTCCCACTGTGTAACTATCATATAGAACAATGTAGCAGCACACTGCTGGTGTTCCCACTGTGTAACTATCATATAGAATAGTGTAGCAGCACACTGCTGGTGTTCCCACTGTGTAACATCAATATAATAAATGTAGCAGCACACTGCTGGTGTTCCCACTGTGTAACTATCATATAGAAACAGTGTAGCAAACACTGCTGGTGTTCCCACTGTGTAAACTATCAAAATAGAAAAAATGTAGCAACACACTGCTGGTTTTTTCCCACTGTGTAACTATCATATAGTACAAATGTGCAACACACTGCTGGTGTTTCCCCCTGTGTAAAATATCATATAGAACAGTGTAGCAACACACTGCTGGTGTTCCCACTGTGTAACTTTTCATATAGAACAGTGTAGCAACACACTGCTGGTGTTCCCACTGTGTAACTATCATATAGAACAGTGTAGCAACACACTGCTGGTGTTCCCACTGTGTAACTATCATATAGAACAGTGTAGCAACACACTGCTGGTGTTCCCACTGTGTAACTATCATATAGAACAGTGTAGCAACACACTGCTGGTGTTCCCACTGTGTAACTATCATATAGAATAGTGTAGCAACACACTGCTGGTGTTCCCACTGTGTAACTATCATATATAAAAGTGTAGCAGCACACTACTGGTGTTCCCACTGTGTAACTATCATATATAATAGTGTAGCAGCACACTTTCTGGTGTTCCACTGTGTAACTATCATATATAAAAGTGTAGCAGCACACTACTGGTGTTCCCACTGTGTAACTATCATATATAATAGTGTAGCAGCACACTGCTGGTGTTCCCACTGTGTAACTATCATATATAATAGTGTAGCAGCACACTACTGGTGTTCCCACTGTGTAACTATCATATATAATAGTGTAGCAGCACACTACTGGTGTTCCCACTGTGTAACTATCATATATAATAGTGTAGCAGCACACTACTGGTTTTTCCCACTGTGTAACTATTTATATATAATAGTGTAGCAGCACACTACTGGTTTCCCACTGTGTAACTATCATATATAATAGTGTAGCAG